GTCAAAAAGTGCACTTATTTAGTCTTTCCAAACTAGGCCTTAGTAATTTAAAAATAATTTATCTTTTTATTTTTTTATCTTTTTTTTATCGTATTACTTCTCTACTTTTCTACACATTTTTTTATAAAATGACAAAAAGTGCACTTACTCAGGTCATCCTAAACGAATCCAGATCCTCTCTAGCCAAAGAGTCCCTCCTGTCCTCCGGTCAAGGGCCACGATTTGCCACGTGGCCCTTTAAAGATCTACGACTCAGAAAAAAAAAAAAAAAAAAACAAAAAAAAACAAAACAAAACAAAACAAAACAAAACAAATTTGAATTTCTTCATTTCGACTCAGCACAAAGCTTCTCTCAACACAACCACACACCACAAAAAAATTTGAATATCTTCTCCAGATCAGTGAACTGCGACGGCATGTCGTGACCGACGACGGCGAATCGAAGTCGGCGGCGAACATCGGTGGGCTCTCCCTCTCTCCCTCTGTCTTACTCCGAACATTTGGACTGCGATTTGAGCCGCGATTGGAGCCGCGAACCATAGTTAAAGGTAAAAAAAAAATTTGTCGTCCTTCGGATTGGCCATAAAAAATCTGAAGCACCACTTTAGTTAAATGTCTGTTTAGATTGAAAAAATCTGAAGCATCATAAAAAATCTCCCGTCCTTCGGATTGGCCAGTTAAATGTCTTTTTAGGTTAAATGTCTGCTTTGATTGTGGATTGGCCAGTTCTTAGTAGTTTGAACCGCCTTATAATTGTTGATTTATTTGATCTTCAAATTAGTGACGGAGATGGCAATGCATATTTGATTGTGGATTGGCTAGTGCTTATAAACTAACAGTTTTTGGGTTGTTTCTTGTATGCTCTGTTATCTATCTAGTTCTGTTATCTATCTAGTTCTCTTACTTTGTTCCTATTGACTAAATTTTGCCCCAAATGTGCTTTTTAGTGGACTTTGGAACTATTTCTTCTCTCCTAAATCCTAACATAAGCATAGTTCTTCACTTTTTTAAAAGGAAAATTCCAATATATAGAAAATCCATATATGTTTTTCTTAGAATTGGGAAGGCTTCATGGTAATGTTTTGACAAATTGAATGACAGTTTTGGCAGCATTGGTTCACCTGCTTTTGACTTTGTTATTCTTATAAATAAACTTGCAACACAACAATTCCAAATATTTAGCAAATCCATATATGTTTTTCTTAGAATTGGGTAGGCATTTCATGGTAATTTTTGACAAATTGAATGACAGCTTTGGCAGCATTGACAGCAGCAAGAGGCCCAAATATATCAATTGAGTTTGTGTTCAAATTTTCATGAACATCAATGGTTCAGCATTGATATGGGAATGTTAAAAATGTTACTTTCCATTGGATCTTAGAATACTGGTCTCTTTTTGTTTACAATGGACAGAAAGTCCATTTTAGTGATGGTTAAATCTATTGAGTAGTTATCCTGTAACTCTTTTCGATTGACAATTGAAATTTCCGTGTTAGGAATATATCCAAGACGGCATTGATTGGGCCAGAGTTGATTTTGAAGACAACCAAGACTGTTTGAATCTTTTTGAAAAGGTATAGAGATCATTGATGCATTGGCTTCAATGTGCTAATTATGATGTGTAGTGTTTGTAGTGTTTTGTTTCTTGTGTTTTTAACGTTGTTAGTATAAGATGATATTGTCCTCTGTGCCTTGTTAAAATCCAAAAGAACCATGAAGATCTAATATTGATTTTTTTATGTGTTGTACAAATTGAAACATTATCCCCCCTCATGTTATGAATAGTTACATGGTACGATGTTGAAAGTCTGTATCAGATGTTGGTAATGAAAATAAATTGGGGTGGAGGATTGGTTGGTAATGAAAATAAAGTTTCCTGTGCTTTTGTTAAAAGGTTTAAACCTATTGTTATTTACTGTCTGTCTGTCACATTTATTATGTATATACATATTAAGTAATGCCCTTTGACCTCTTTCTTGGATGCAGAAACCATTGGGGTTATTGTCTCTATTAGATGAAGAGTCTACCTTTCCAAATGCTAATTTTTTTGAATGATGCCTTGCTTAAACTGACATATTCTGAACTACATATACAATAGAAAGCAGTAAAAATTAAGAAGATTTAGAGAGTGATTAAACAATAAGTAGGAAATTAAGAAGCATTTACCATCACCACAGCTGCACTCTCCATGTCAACTGATGAAACTTGAAAAGTATTGAAGAGGAAGTCCCTGTATGCTGCATTGCCTGCAAAAATGGGGGCTTCACTTTTTATTGAGATTGTTCCCAGTAATCATTCACCATTAATAAGCTCTAATAATTTACACAATGATAGTTTGTGAGAGTCCAAAATGTGAGAATGGATTTGGCCTTTCACACTGCTATATTGTGGTTTTTCTTGTTGGAATAAACGCAATTAGGCTATTTGATAATTTTTGTGCTACTTGATAATTTTTTGTAGGTCAATGTCAATGTCAAGCACAAATGCAAGTATGGACAACATGCATGAAGTTAGATTCGAAAACCGCAATTGTCGATGTGGCAAAAAAGCTATGGTGAAGATTTCTCAGTCAACGGATAATCCAAATTGCTTTTATTTTGTATGCCCTAATTATCCGAATGGTTGTAACTTCTTTCAGTGGTGGATCCCTCCACATATGTAGCATAATTTGAAGGTGGTCAAGAATGATATTGATAAAGAACGCATGCAAGTCTTGTCTACTCTTAGAGAAGTAATTATCGTGAATGAGGAGCTCAAAGACATGACTATGAAGAGTAGGAAACAATATAGAGACTTGGCAATGGTGGTTGAAAGAGTTGGTGAAAAATTGAATTATGCCTTTGTTTTTTTTTGTTTTGTTGTTGGTGGTAGTTGTGATTCTAGTGTATTTGAAATAGTGTATGTAATGTAAGGTAGTGTTAGTATGACTTGTATTGTATGTTGAATGTGTATGTAATGTAAGGTAGTATGAGTATGACTTGTAATGTACGTTGAATGTGTATGTAATGTATGGTGGACCACTACCATTTGGTTCAAGTGGTAATGAATGTAATGGCTTTTTTTGTTTGATGAAGTGGCATCAACATTAAATACTTAACAAGTTGAATGGTGAAACTTGTTGAAGTATTTGTGAACAGATATTTTGAACACAGGTTTTGAAGACATATTTTTTTACATAGGTTTTTGAAGACAGTTTCTGAAGATAGATTTTCATGACAATTTTTCAACACAGATTTTGAAAGACAGATTTGTAAACAAATATTTTGAACACAGGTTTTTGAAGACAGAATTTTTTACACAAGTTTTTGAAGACAGTTTCTAAAGACAGATTTTCAACACAGTTTTTGAACACAGATTTTGAAAGACAGATTTGTGAACAGATATTTTGAGCACAGGTTTTTGTAGACAGATTTTTTTACACAGGTTTTTTAAGATAGTTTCTGAAGACAGATTTTCAGCACAGATTTTGAACAAAGATTTTGAAAGATAGATTTGTGAACAGATTTTGAACAAATATTTTTTCAACACTGTTTTTTAAGACAAAGTTTTGGAGACAGATTTTGAACAAAGATTTTGAATAAAGCTAGAGCTCAGTGCAAGTGAACATAAATTGAACAATGCAAATGTTTAAAATTATGAAATAATGTGTTTTCATATCCTACTAAACACCATTAAGAGAGATGGTACATTGACTTAAATAAACCAAATTATGAAAACAACCAAAAAGTAAATAATCCAAAAAAACATAAAATAAATTATCCAAAACAAAAATAAACTCCATTAATATATCCCACATACTTCAACAAGTTTCACCATTCAACATCAACATCAACATTAAATACTTAACAAGTTTCAACAAGTTTCACAATCAAAATACAACAGCTCAACAAGTTTCACCATTGAACATCAACATCAACATTAAATAGTTAACAAGTTTCAACAAGTTTCACCATTCAACAAGTTTCACAATTAAATACTTCAACTTCAACATCAACATCAATGTTAAATACAGCAGCTCAGAGGCATCTCATATGCATGAAATTTGAAGTGCCTTCCACCTCTTCATGGCCATCCAAACCCTGAAAAAAAAAACAGCACCAAAACTATACTTGAGCAGGACAAAATCAGCACCAAAACCAACATTACAGCAGCACAAAATCAGCACGAAAAACAGCATTTTAGCAGCACAAAATCAACAACAAAAGTACCAAATCAGCAGCAAAAGTACCTCAGTATACAGCAGCAAATTATTTGTTGGCCGAGAACCTGTCTATGAGCCTTGAGAATCTTCAAACCCAATGTCATACCCACCTTGAAGTAGTGTCATAAATGTTAGTTGTCCACAATATGCCAAATTGTTTGCCTACAATTCATTCATATTATATTACGATTCATAACAAGATGCAAATGAAAAATTAATTGACAAAACACAAATTACTTGGCTACAAATCTGACTCACATTATATGTGGGATATATTAATGGAGGAGGAATTGTACCACCCATGGCAACGGAATGAGGAGGAAGAGGGGGAGCAAGAGGGGGATGAAGAGGAGTAACATTTTCATGAATACTTACATCTCCTCCAATAGATAATGGTAAAGGTCTCATTGTTGGAGCAGCAACAGGTCTTGAAGAACTCAAAAATTGTGCATGGGACTTCTTTTTAAAGCTTGCTTGCAATGCTAGCTCACATGGACCTTTTATCCTTCTTTTGCCCTTACTAATTGGATGCTTTTTCTTCAATCCTATTGGAATTTGCACAACATGATTGTTGTCTTCTTGCTCACAGGTTTGAGGTTAATCATTAATACTTACTTCTTTTTCGGGACAAAAATGTGCACTTATCTTGCTTTCAACATGTACACCTAATGCAGCTACTTGTGAACAACAAAAATCATAACTTTCCTCAGTTTCAGCAGCTCTACATGCTATTGATCTAAATGCGGTCATCAATGTCTTATACCGTGAGGCTTGTTTGAATTTGACGCCTACTTGAATCTCATTCCCTAACTTGTCCGTCACAGCTTCTCCTCTTGCTTGTTTGGTCCACCTCTTTCATAATGTATTGTGAAGGAATCTCTTTCAACTTCAATATTTCTCTCATAACCTTCAAACAGTGACTGCACAAAATCCCTTTCCTTTCAAACTTTGAACAACTACAAGCCAAAGAGCCATCCATCTCCATTTTCACATTCCTTGCATTTTTTCCAATAGCATCAACAACTATGTATAGGCTACAACCATCAATGTATTCAATTGCTTGTATGTCTGATTCAATAGAAAGAAAATACTCATCTTGAAACTCCTCAAAAATATTTTTAGTGTACACATTACCCATTTGACTTAGCATTATGAATGGCGCTCTCACCCTTGGCAACCTTTGGCATAAAGCATATCCAGCTTCTAACTCCTTGTACCGCTTCTCACAAAGTACCCTTTCAAAATACATGAAGAATTCATTTAAATTAAAATTAGAACGAATGTAATCCTTCAAAAATGCATTAAAAGATTCACTAAATTGTGTTGTACTCATTCCCGCAGCCCATGTTGATCTAACATATGGCCAGCCCCATTTTTCCTTCACCCCAAAAATCAACTTCAACCAATGATTGTCATGAGCATCATATGTATCAAGCATTTCCCCCCACTTCATTTCCCATTCATTTTCATCCTTAATATCAAACATGAATCTATTTAATACACCTTTCACCCCCTTATCTTGAAAGAGACAATTACCATGCCTTAATGCATTTTGTATCAAGTGCCAAGTGCACAAACGGTGACTCGTGTCAGGCATGACAATGGGTATGGCCTTAGCCATTGCAGCATCTTGATCGGTAAACAAAGTTTTTGGTGCCTTTTTTGACATAGCCTCTAAAAAAGTTTGAAATAACCATACAAATGTTTCGGCAGTCTCATCATATAACAACGCAGCACCAAAAACAACTGTTTCTCTATGATGATTAAATCCCACAAAAGATGCAAATGGCCTATGGTCTTTATTTAACTTGTAGGTAGTATCAAATGTAACTACATCGCCAAATTGGGCATAATCCATGACCATTTGTGCATTGGCCCAAAACATGTTCGTTATTTGCTCTTCATTGTCTAATTGGAAAGCATAAAAAAAATATGGATTCTCCAAAGATTTTTGTTGAAAGTATTGCAACACATTACCTACTTTCCCATACGCTAAACTTTTTTGTCTTTTGGTTCTCAAGTAATTTTTTTGATCTAATTTCATAAAACCAAGAGACTGCCTCCCTCCAGCTTCCTTACCCATCAGTTCAAAAGACTGCCCTAAACGAAGACCAGACTCTGAGGCTAAGTCTAACTCAATTGCTTGGGTATTTGATATCTTTCTTTGCGATGACAACATATGGACACAATCAAGAGATACAAGTTCATGGTTGTGGTTTTCTTTGAAATCAATCACAACAAATTTCCCACTATTGACATCCAATTTAACAAAAAGTCGGGCCTCACAACCAGTCCTAGTTTCAGCTCTAGGGGTTTTTGTCAATGGGTCTCGCTTGTCAACCTTCCGAAATCCCTCTTTGTTGCAAACCAAATTTCTAGAAATAATTTGTTTTGTTAACTTGTTCTTCTTACAATATTCCCTTCTTATGCTAAATCCCATTCTTCCTCCATATGCATTATAAAAATCGTACGCACTTTCTTCCGAATCAAAGGTCATTCCTACTTTTGGCTTCCAACCACAATCATTTTCAGGTCCCATATCCATATAAAAACGCAACTGAAAAGTAGAGGCAATCAAATGGGAGAAATATCAATACACAATAATAAAGTGATTAATTTTTTTTTTTGGGTAAAAATGTTCTGTTTCCTCTTGTTTTCTAAATATCATGTACATGCTTTAAGAAAGATTATGTGTACTTGTAAATTGTTTCAAGTTGAAAAAATTAGTACAGGTTTGAACATGGGAAGATAAAATATTTGAGCTCTATATTTATAGAAGCTAATATAGAACCTGAAATGGAAAATTCTGACAAATATAGAAGCTAAAATAATTTTTGAGACACTCAGTTATAGCTAAAAAGCAAATTATAAGCATTAAGTATATGTTGTAAATGTATTGCTATATCTATATATAGTTTCAACCACCAACACTTTTTACAGTTTAAATTGGTCATGGAATACAACAAATAAAACATCTATGTATTGCTCACTAGTTAGAAAAATCAATGTAGTTGCAGACAATAACAATGTTCCCCAACCATGACAAACCTGTGCACTGAATCTTTTATTTCTGGTAAGGAAAACTTATATGGGGAAAAATTACGGAAAACAAAGCTATATCTATACATAGTTTTGGTCCAACACTTTTTACAGTTTAAATTGGTTATCGAATACAACAAATAAAACATCTGAGCCAAAAATCCATGTAGTTGCAGACAATAACAAAACTAAACCTCAATGTTCTAGCTTTATTCATGGTACCATGGTTGAGAACAATAAAAAAATGACAATAAAACAATGTAGACAATAAAACATGGACTCCTGGGGAACAATGTCCCTTTGTTCTCAACCATGGTACCATGAACAGAACAATGACAACAACAGAACAATGTTCCTTAATTTTCCTTTTTTACTCAAAAGGTGTACTAGTTAGAAGAATCAATGTAGTTGCAGACAATAACAATGTTCCCCAGCCATGACAAACATTACCTTCAGTTGATGACGAAGTGGAGCACTGGTTCGCGGGGTCGCCGGACATTGGTTCACCGTCGATGTTCGCCGCCGATCGTCCTCGATGTTTGCCGTCGACTTCGCCAATCGCCAGAGCTTGGAAGAAGGAGGGAAAAAGAGCTTCAAAGAGGAGGGAAAATGGACTCCTGAATGGGAGGGAAGCTTTGTGCTGGGTCGAAATGAAGAAATTCAAATTTAATTTTTATTTTTATTTTTTATTTTTTTTTCCTGAGCATTAGATCTTCAAAGGGCCACGTGGCCAAATCGTGGCCCTTGACCGGAGGACATGAGGGACTCTTTGGCTGGAGAGGATCCGGACTCATCCTAAACAACCCTTTAATATGATAATTATAATTTTTAAATTTAAAATATTATGTTCACGTACACATTTTACATTTTCAAACGTGGTATGCTTTTTCTGTATGCACAAATTTCTTGTGTGCAAAATAAAGAGAAAAATAGAATGACGAATATAAATTTATTAATTTAAATAATGTGATTACAATTTCTGATAAATTTTCTAATCAAACAAAACAATTCTTTGATTCTTCTCTTCAAAAAGTTGCCTTGAAGGATTGACAACTTGTTCTTGAATCGAGTGGCAAAACCTCCTCCAAATAATGTAAAGAAGATGACAAATTTGTAAAATTTTAACTTGAGGGTTTGATCGCTTATTCTTAAATCAGATTTGTAGAATCCTCTCCAATAGTAGAATAATACTATAGATTTGTAGAGATTCATAACGAATTTTGATTTAAATCTCTAAGTTTCAAGCATGATAGAGATTGATGGAGTTTTTTTTACGAGTACTTTGATTTGATCATCCGAGCTTTATGCTTTATATGGAGATTGATAGACTTTTGGCGAAAAGACTTGCGAAGCTCTAGAGGCTTGAATGCAATGGAGTTTTCTCCCCTAGCTTGATGTAGATTTTTCTCTCTACAGAAGTTTTAATATTTGAAATACGATAGAAATTTTAAGCTCGTATCCAGGAGGTCTTCTTAGTTTGATGCATTTTGAAGGCTAATTTGTTGACTTGGTTGAGCTATAAAGTTCGAAGGTGTAAAGATCTATGGGGAAAATGGTTTAATAAACATGAGTTTTTACTGACTTTGGAGCCAAAATTAAGAGGGACCCACTTATTATTTTGGTCGATCGAAGAGGCAAAGTTGTTAATTGCTATATAGAGATAAAGATTATGTATTTGGCTGGTGAAATCCATTTACGGCTGAATGATAAATCAAGTAAATAATAAATCGACAATAAAGTGAGCCATTGAAAATGACTCATGGTGGAGGGTTTTATATTGTTGTAATTCCTTTGTCTCACATAGGAAAGAAGAAGGAAGATGAAAAGACTTATATAGTCTAAAGTTTCTAGAAAAGCCTGGGCCTCTAGGCGTACCAAAGTTTTGTAGAAGGGAAGAACCTAGACAAAGCTAACCATAAGTGGTGACCACCACACAATCAACAAGTTGGGTCGGGTTAGGTTGGGTCAAAAGTTATTTGAGTATATATTTTTTGTAGAAAATTTATTCAATTAATAATGTGATGACTAGGAGCGCTACTAGTTTGGTTTTCCTTGTTAATTAATTAGGTTTGTTGCATTCCAGAGTTTTCCTCAAAATTTTTGCTCTTGTTTATTCTGGGGTTAAATTTCACTCGTTTCGGAGTGTGCTCGGTTGAGTCCAGAGTGTTAGGAATCGAACCGGAAAAAAATTCTGGGCTGGAGGACCAGGGCCGTACGTGCGGGAGAGGGCCGCATGTGCGCGAAAGTGTGATCTTTTGAAGGTTGCACACTGCATTATATGCAGGTGCGAGGGGGAGTGCAAGAAGGTACCGCACGTGCAGAGATCAGAGCTACATGTGCGGGAGGCACGCTTCGCACGTACAGAGGCAAGTGCCGCACGTGCAGACGGGCCTGAGTCCGTGAAGCTCTGTTTTTCTTCTCTTTTTGGGCAGTGTGTGTCATTTTTCTTATATCACTCTTTCACTAAAAACACACTACTCTTCATTCTCTCTACATTTCATACACCAAAACTCTTCAAACTCTTGATCTCCTCAGCTGTGGCCAACCAAGTCAGAAGGCCTTTGCATGTCCACAGAAAGGAGGAGGACAGCAGATGTTGCCACCATCACCACCTAACCGATCTCAAAGTCAGTCTCAAAGTAGGGGGCAGGGGCCTACTTGCTATCAGTACGACCAGTCAAGGCACATGAAGAGAGCTTGCCCGCAGTTGGGAGGCGCATCTGGTGCGTCGGGGTCGAGACAGACTCAGAGCCATCAACAAGCTCACTCAGTTCAGACTTTGTGAGCTAATTAGAGAGCCGCTTTGGCTCAGTCAGTGCAGCAGGCCTATGCTTCGAGAGATGAGCAAATTGATCAGAGGCCACAGGGGCGTGTGTATGTTGTTACCGCGTCGGAGTAATTGTTGGGATCCTCAGTTGTGAGAGGTATTTTTGTTGTGTATAATTCTTTAGCTAATATGTTGATAGATACAGGTGCGTCTCATTCATTCATATCTACTGTATTTGCGTCTGCATTGGGATTAGAGGTGGCACGATTAGTGTCTCCGCTCAGAGTAGAGTCACCAGTTGGGGGTACAGTTGACTTAGATCAGGGGTGTCGTGGTTGTGAGATAGAGGTTGCCGAGCGTCGACTCCCGTTTGTTTTTGTGTTGCTAGACATGTCGAGTTTTGGCGTCATTCTAGGCATGGATTGGTTGTCTTCGTACTGGGCGGTGATTGACTGTTTTCGTCAGAGGGTCATAGTGTGTACCTTGAGTGGTGATTGTTTTTACTTTCTAGGAGACCGAGTTGATAGGTCTTGTCACCAGTTTTTGACCCTCGTAGTAGGAACGAGCTTAGTGGCCTTCTTGCTACTCTCTTGGATGGTGAGAGTGACGAGACTCGTATTGAGTTGCCAAGGGTAGTTTGCGAATACCCAAATGTATTTCCTAAGGATCTTACTAGTTTGCCACCCCACCGGGAGATTGAGTTCACCATAGACCTAGTGCATGGAACGACACCAATTACCATGGCGTCGTATAGATTTACACCCGCGGAGTTGCATGAGTTGAAGATTTAACTCCAAGAGCCTTTAGACAAGGGCTTCATTCGCCCTAGTACGTCGCCATGGGGAGCGCCGGCTCTCTATGAGAAGAAGAAAGATGGGTCGTTGTGGTTATGTATTGATTATCGCAAGTTGAATCGGGTTACCGTCAAGGACAAGTATCCTTTACCTAGAATAGATGACTTGTTTGACCTATTTAGAGGTCTTGTTGCTTTCCGAAGATAGACTTGAGGTTGGGGTACCATAAGTTGAGAGTTTAGGAGGAGGATATCCAAAAAACAGCCTTTCGTACGCGGCATAGCCACTATGAATTCCTTGTAATGCCTTTTGGGTTGACTAATGCACCGACTTTCTTTTATGGACTTAATGAACTGAATTTTTAGAGAATACTTGGATCATTTTGTGGTCTTCTTAATGGACGACATCTTAATTTATTTAACCTCCAAGGAAGAACACGAGGCTCACTTGCAGGTAGTGCTTGATTTGCTTAGGAAGCATCAGTTGTATGCCAAATTTGAGAATGAGAGTTTTGGCTCACTGAGGTGAAATTTTTGGGTCATGTAGTATCAAGAGAGGGGGTAACTGTAGACTCTTCAAAGATAGACGCTGTGCAGGATTGGGAACAACCCAAAAATGTTTTTGAGATCTAGAGTTTCTTGGGATTGGCAGGGTATTATCGGCATTTCGTAAGGGATTTTTCTAGACTAGTTGCGCCTTTGGCTAGATTGACTAGAAAGGGGGTTAGGTTTGTGCGGAGTGAGGCTTGTGAAAAGTCTTTCCAAGAGCTTAAGACTAAACCAACTACCGCACCAGTGTTGATAATTCCGGAAAGCGGTTTGGGTTACACCATTTATTGTGATGCATCTCGGGATGGGCTTGATTGTGTCTTGATGCAAGGGGGAAAGGTTGTAGCTTACAGTTCACGGCAATTAAAAACTCATGAGAATAATTACCCTA